CGGCCAATCTGAGTCCGAAGTCTATTTAAAGACTTCCAGATTGGCCATGGTAATCTATGTCGGGAACATTCTCAAAAAGCGGGACAAAGGGATCCGAAAGCAGCGTTTGAGCACGCCACATGCATATCGCTAGAGGGCTCGGTTGTAAGGAAGTCGACATATTTAAAAAACTTTTCCAACTTTTCAGCCTTTGCGGTGGAAGCTCGAGCCCATGTAGGGGGTGCCGCATGCCCTCGTTCCACTAAGGCCTCTTTTTTTACATTTAAAAAAAAATCTAAGAACCGTATGTAAGCCCGTAATGTCATCGAACTGAATACCATTGAGGAGGTTTTCAAGAATTTTCTTTTAAAGTTCAGTATCTTTGAATGAATGTTGCATTAAAATCAGTTTGAACGTTTCGTATATGATCTGGACAAACATGGACAAAGGAATAACAAAAGTATTGATTAGAATTTTTGTAACATCTAAAACATTAAACTAACTTGGATTAGATATTTGTTGGAATGCATAAAAAATTTAAATCGTGTTGTAAAAATATTTATAATAAAAAACAATGTCAACTTATCACGTTGTCTTTAACTGACAGAAAAAAATATTTCAAACCATGAACACGAGATATATTTGAAGCTTAAATTTAAATGTTTAGAAATGAATTGGGTAGGTAGGTACCTTTACTTGTTATCAGGGCTGCCCCAAAATAGATTTGGCAACAAACTGAGTAGTTAAATTAAATATGTTTATTAGTATTTTTTACTATATGTCAAAACACAACACGCAATGTCGAATATAAATTAATTTAATTTTCACTTACTGATTGCACTTTTTGCTCGAACCCATTCTAGAAGAAAAAGAATATTTCTTCAAGTTCATTCTAGAAGCAGAGATTGGGAATCAATCATCTAATTAATAACAAAATACAATCAATCAATTAGTCGGAATTATTAATCTACAGACTAAAACCTCTTCAAATGACTACTAACGACATCTAGCATCGATGTAGTCTGATAAGACCTACTAAAAGTAACTGAATAAATGAGTATTATGTTGATTTTATATCTTAATTTTATTTACCCTTTTTCTAAAGACACGGCAATATAAATAAAGTAATTCAATTTTATCTTATTTCTTAGGACTACTAAGTATTACTATGACAGAAAAAGAAAACATTTGTTAATGATCCAATTTCACGTTTTGGTAACCCTGGTAAGAAATATTTTCGTTTTGACCATTACTTCTCGAAGGCAGGAATGTACTCTACTAACTTTTGACAAATATAAATAAGTAGCATCTTGACATCTGTCTGCACTTGCTAGAAGTTCGATTAATAAAATTAATTAATGTTAACACAAAGTGTAAAGACATTTAAATGTGTATTAAGATACAATCTGTTACAATATATACTTAGACTCGTTTATAGATCCAAACGCCAAGTTTTGTTTTACGAACTCGCAAATAAATTGGGCATACTGTCACCCGTTTACCATTTCCCTTCACTTCACAATTTTTGGCAACCTTTTTACGCCTGATTGAAAAAAAGTGGTTAAATATTAAAATTATTAAAACTTTCCGGGCGTGACCGAATACTCGTCCTCACCCCAATGAAGGACCTCTGATGGGTCCGAAACTAGTAACCGGGTAGTCTGAGTTTAGCCATTCCGTTATTGCGATGGATGCCGAAAACTCATATATGATTATTGGGGCCGCGATGTTCATCTTTATATATATATATATAATTCTTTTGTACGTGTGTATGTCACTGAACTCCTCCTAAACGGCTGGACCGACTTTAATGAAATGTTTTGTGTCTTCAAGTCAATTCGAGAACGGTTTACATTTAAAATTCGAGACACTACAACTTTTTATTTTTTTTATTTCTAAGTTATTGAATTTCAGTCGTGTGTACAGGACAACGTCTATCCGGACCGCTAGTTAATTATAAATCTGCAGAATTGCACAAATAAATCCCAATATTTATCAGAAAACTAACTGAATATTATCATGGTTTATTTTTATTGCTGTGACCATGAACACTATAAAGCATTTAACGAATGTATAGCACAATTTATATATAATAGCTCAATCGCGAGTTGATGGTGCCTTGTTCCGACCCAAGCTCTTGAGTTTTCTCTTTGATATTTGAAGGAAATCTACATATTTTCTAAATAGTAACTAAAATAAAAACAAGCGAACGAAGGGTTTCTGTACCGTTATCTATAAAACGGCGAAAAATCATGTCTGTTGTATGAGAACCCCACTTAAATTTTTATATTCTGTTTTTTAGTATTTGTTGTTATAGCGGCAACAGAAATACATAATCTGCGAAAATTTCAACTTTCTAACTATCACTGTTTATGAGATACAGCCTGGTGACAGACGAACAGACAGACAGAATGAGAGACACACAGACAGCGAAGTCTTACTAATAGTGTCCCGTTTAACCTTTGGCTACGGAACCCTAAAAATATTTCGAAATTATGTGAAGTCTGCCAACCCACTATGGAGTCACGATGTGGATTATGCCCTAATACCCTCTGTAAACAGAATGCCTTTGCCCAGCTATGGGACATATATAGGCTGGTACTTTACTATTTCCACTTTGAAGTATACATCCCAAAATGACCAAAAATTTAAAACCATTTTAAGTGATTCAAAACAGATTTCTTCATTAATCAACGCCCCTGTGGAATATTCAGAACGCCGAAGAGTTGCATCGTTGAAGTCAATCGGCTAAAGCCTTCAGTATCTATCACTCATCCCGTCATACTATGCATCAGAGATGACACCGTCCTATAAGCATTTTAGATAATCCCGACAACCCAGCGGACAAAATATCAATGCTTCGACATGGTAATAAAGGCCCAAACGGTTGAAGGAACGATCCTACGCAATTATTGCGGCACATGTTGCTTATACTAAAACACACCGTCGTGATGTGCACCAGCTTAGTTTTTCCCTACTGAGAACCGCGAACCTCTTTTGACAAAGCTGTGCACTACAATTCACAAAAAAAAACATCTACTGCTGCACAAAGAATAGAAACATATTCGTATCCACGTAGATACGTACTTGATACAACGTCTTCAACTGTTACAATCTTCTTATTCTATGATTAATTGCCACTCTTGTTAACACTTACAATTTTAGCGCCAAATATGTCAGTAAAACGTCCCGTGACCAAGGGGTCATCAGATGAAGGCATCTCGTTCTTCATATAGGTTGGCTGTTGGTTGAGGTAGAATGAAATAACTGCCCGGATATTAAAAGCGTATAATGATCAATTATACTACGGCTAACCGATGGCACATTATAGGTATCTGCTAATATCAAAATGATAATCTGTGAGCAAGAACGGATCAAATAAATTTAAGTAGAGGCTGCCAAACCATACATCAACCGCCTATTTTGAAGTAAAAGACTCGTCGACTCACAGATTATTAAGATGCGGATATATCCAAAAACAATCTAAATAGAGATATAAATAAATGGGTTCGTGCTTATAACGCCACCGGCCACACCATCTTTTAGATGGCAATAATGTTAGATCATTTAACTGTCAAAAGTCAATCTAATTCTACGTAGAGATGGGTCGTATCGCTTTTTCTGAGTACCGTATCTGAATCAGATTTCGATTTCAAATATCAGATTTCGAAACTATGTATTTTAATATCTAGATATTTTACGGTCCCGTATCCTATCCACCTTGAATTCTAAACAAAAAAAATAATAATAATAATAAAAAAATAAATTTCATTAAAAATAGAAATTGAAGTCATATAAAAATGATTTATTTCAACATCTTATATATCGCTTAAAATAATTGAGTTTAACATATTCTTAGAACACGCAATCATGAGTGACAATATTTTTATAATTTGTGTAAGAAATAATACATTCACTATTATAACTTAGGGCGGAAGAATTTAAAATATACACACAAAGCACATAAGCCTTGGTCTGATTTTCACCCAAGCAGCACAGCACATTAAATTATATTTTTCTTTTTGTGTAGTTTTATTTTTTTTCCAAAAATATGAATAAAATTTAACGAATAAAAATATTCCCAAAAAATTTACCTCCTAAAAAATTTCCATTTAAATTTTTCTTCCTTAATTAAGGCAGAAAATTCTTAAGTAGTAAGTTGGCATCCCTTACTATTACGTGCTAGGTACCAATGCAATCCAGCTCAAGGTTAAACAAAATTTAAAAACATCGTTAATACCGTAATTCGTATTTAAATGCAACTAAAAATGTTTTTTTCCATGCTGTTAAGATTCAAAATTACTTAACTGCGCGCTTTGTCGCCCGTTACGGCTCAAGGCTAAACAAAACAATAAAAATATACTTAATATAATATCGTTGTAGTAATCGTTGATACCATGAGTATTTAATTGAAACGGATCTTATTGTCATGGTTTTAAGATTCAAAATTACTTAACTTATTCAAAATATCTGTTTAAAAATCTGATATTGTGCATTGCTTGCCGTCCCGCTCTAACTAGTGAGTATTTGTATCTCACGCGCTTTGTCTCTCGATATCTGATATCGTGCATTGCTTGCCGTCCCGCTCTAAGTAGTGAGTATTTGTATCTCACGCGCTTTGTCTCTCGAAATCTGTTTAAAAATCAGATATTGTGGCAAACGCGTATGATATCGCGATTCGTGTCGGTATAGCGAACGAGCACGTTACATCAGATTTCGGAAATATCAGATATTGTAAAATACATAGATATTGAACGAGCCAGTAAGCGATATTCGGATATTGTACTAATATCTAGTTTTCATATCTGATACGATATGTATCGCCCACCACTAAATTCTAGTATTGTTATTGGTATTGTCAATGCCATTCAAAGTTTAAAAAAAATGTCAAAACATGAAAGTTAGGAATTTTATCAATTAAAAAAAACGCCAGCGAGATAAGAAATTAAACAAAACAAAGTTTAGTTGCGAGTAATATCTGACTATTTTAACACCACTATATATTTTGAATCAAAAACGTAATGTCTGACAAACCGGTTGATGACGATGGTAAATTATTACAACGCCGACTTGGTTTCTTTCTCAAATTTTTTATAAAGAATACTATAAAATTATATTTTTCAGCTCCTTCAGACAGCAGTCTTCTGGTAATAATCGTTGACACTAATCCAAATCAGCGGTACATAACAGATGATCCCAAAGTGTTGACTGGATGTCTTGATGCAGTCATAGCTTTTGCTAATTCTCACTTAATGCAAAAATCTAGAAATCTACTTGCAGTCATCGGTTGCCATTTTCATAGAAGGTCTTCATGATAATTTTAATCTTATATTTATCTTAGATAAATCTTCTTATATGTATATCCTTTTCTCTACCATATATTTTATGATGATATGGTTTGATTTTTTCTTATATACTTATAATGATTTTTAACTGTCTGCACTTACAGTTTTAATTTAAAGTTCTTGTCTTGAACAACTTAGAAACAATTTGGATAGTTATGTCTTCTGTCTATACAAACATAGTGTTTTATGTTTCAGTGACTACCTGTACCCGTCTCCAGGCAAGCCATTAGATGTAAGACAGATAGACGGACAATATGAACTGTTTACATTAGTTGAGAAAACAATTAAGATGAGGTAGGCCAGTATCTAATCTTGTAGTTTCAATATAATACCTTGACCTGTAAAATAAAAAAAACCTGCTCTGAGGGCAATTACTTTTTTAATTGCTAGTCTCATATATTGGTACAAGTAATTAGTCATAATAGTTTTCTGGTATCTGGCAAATTTTATTTTTCTGGTCAAGCTGTGAGGTCATCTTGAACAGAAATTTAAATACTATATATATATAACTTTCAAACTTATTATTTTAGATTGGTGAATTTGATTAAAAGTCAGCCACAAGAAGAGAAACCTGGTGAATCCCTCCTTGCTGGAGCATTAGCTATGGGTCTTTGCTTTATCTCCAGGGTAAAAAGCTATATTGATTACTAAAGATTTTGACCACTCAATTATTAAACATTGGAAGCTCCAAATGGTAAAAAAAGAGATGAAGAAAGCATTTGTTTTTTAATTATTTAAGATAATATTTTTTATCTATATACTGTATATTTAAGAAAAGAAAGAAATTACTCGCATATCCTTTTCAATTTGACATACACCGTTTTTAAAATAATTGCACCATATACTGAAGTGGATGTTTCTTTGTATATATTTAATTCATTCAATCAACATTATTACTTACGATGTTCTTTTATACTTTTATTTATTACATATTTACAGATGCGCCGTCAAGCTCCAACAGGTCTTCGTATGAGTAGCCGTATCCTCATTGTTACAGGAAGTGCAGACACAGCTGCCCAATATATAAATTATATGAATGTATTTTTTACTGCCCAGGTAAATTAAAACAGAAATGCATATTATTAAATAGTCTTACTATTGGAATAGATAAAAAAACATAACAACTTATTCATTAAGAAATTAACAAAAAAAGCTATATCAGCTTAGAATTATTTACGTCTGTTAAATTAATAAGTCCTTATGTTAGACCTTAAATCATTCTATTTTCATTTGTTTTTGTACATGTTACAGACCTCATTAAATTTTATTATCATTGTATCTGAACTTATATACCCACTTATTATTGTTGTGATTTTATTTTGCTCTTAGATATTTTTGCCACACATGGTTTATCAAATATTAGTTTTTAACCTTTATTTATCAAGTAATGCAGTTTGGTTTAAACACCCATAAAAATGTATTTATGCAATTATTTTTTACATACAAAAGTAAGTGGTCTTCCCATCCATGTTTTTAGTTTCCTGCGGCTACACAATTATTCTTCTGAACAATCTTAACATACCTTTAAACATATTTCATTTTATTCCTCAGAAACAGCAAGTTTTGATAGATGTATGTTCATTGGACAAGCACCTCAGTCTGTTGCAGCAGGGTTGTGATATCACAGGAGGATTGTACCTTAAAGTGCCGTCGCTAGAAGGCTTATTACAGTATTTATTGGTAAGTAAAAATTAAATTAAATAATTGTTTAGTAAACAGCTTTATTCCAGAATGTAGCGCCTAATGAATTACAATTTCTGTTGTGTAGTCTTAACAACATGCTTTGGGCTGGTTATGCTGTATAGCAATCAAGCTTAAATGCTTCTACTCGCTACAAAAACGTGTTTTTTAATTCTTTTAAACAATTATTTATTACATTAGCATGCCAATTTAAAAACTAACTCAATGCGAATTCAGTTCATTTTTGTTTGCCGCAGTGGGTTTTCCTGCCTGAGGCGTCGGAACGGAAAGAGCTGGTGCTACCGGGGAGGGGCAGAGTAGACTACCGAGCGGCGTGCTTCTGCCATAGAGAGCTGCTCACCATCGGATATGTGTGCTCAGTTTGCTTAAGCGGTAAGTGGTGAGAAATTGATGAGCGGCCATAGTTCATCTGCAAACTAACAGCCTATATATGTCCCAGTGCTGGACAAAGACTACCTCTGTACAGAGGGCATTAGGGCATAGTCCACCACTCTTCCATCTATGAAATATTTTTTTATTATTATTTTGAACATATGCAGTTTTCCTTCACCATTGAAACTTTTAAACTATATAATTAAAATGCAGTTAGAAGTTCATTGGTGCCACCACCTGGATTTGAACTTGGGGTTACTCAAATATATTAAATTAAAAGCGAGTGGTTGGACACTTGAGTTATCACGGCCCACCATGATATTAAGTGATTAAACCTATGGACATTTGCGACCTTTGGGGCGACAGATTCCTTACTTGAAATAATTGGGCCTCAGTTACCTCACTCCGACGAAATGCGGAAGTACCTATAATATTTCCACTCTCTTCTGTAGGCCGTGGTAATTCCCCGAACGAGCCAGCCTATTCTTGCAACAACTGGAGCGTGTCTGTTTGTTTGATTCATATCTATTTAGGGAAACTAGCACTGGCCGACGGGTACGTCTATCGTAATTAAGATGTAGATAAATTACGATCTTACGTCATTTTTTACAAGTTCTATGCATTTGACAACCCTATTGGCGTAATGGATAGTGGACCTGCCTCTTGCTCCTGAGGGTGTGGGTTCGGTCCTCATTACTGGGAAAAAAATTATTATGTGATGTACGTAGAGTTTCTCTCGTGTCTGGGTGTTTATATATCTATAATAATTATATTTTACAAAAAGAAAAGTATTTTTATCAGTTACCTTACACAAGCTTTGCTTAGTTTGGGACTAGATAACGTTATGTAAAAATATGGCCTGGAAATATTTATTATTATTCATTTGTTTCTCGATATGAAAATACAACAAGGTCATACATCGATTTTTGTGATTATACCTAGAAAATGGCCTAACAACCTAACTAGTGGGCATACCTACCCACTAGTATACCTACTCCATTCACGAAATTCGTGATTGGTACGTTCCCTTCATACCCAAACAGATTGCGAGATAGGATAATTAAAAAGTTATCTCAAGAGAGCGAATGCGAAATGCGTACACAGCGCATAAATCAATGTACACTTGAGACTTGCAAGTTTTTTTTTTAAATTTGATAAGGTTACAAGCGAACTGTCGATTCACCTGATGTTGTCATTAAAGGCCCATTTACACGGTGCCAGTTTCTTGCCTGTTGTATACAATTAAATTGAAGCAATAAAAAGTTGCATGGTCTAAACAACAAATGGTCTAACCAATTATTGCGCGCAATTTATTGCATTCAATTATTGCTCTTGCATGTACAAGAAAATGGCATCGTGTAAATGGGCCTTAAGAGTTAACTGCCGCTCATGGACATTTGCAACACCCGTAGGGTGGCAGATGCGTTGCCACCTTTTAATAAGTTTGGCTCCGGCTGCCTCTCACCAGACGAAACGCAGAAGTGAAACATTTCCAATTCACGCCGGTCTTTTGTGACGTCAAAGCACTTGCACAGACGGACCCACCCTTTCGTGCATCAGCATTGAATGTTGCGTGGCCTTATGACAGTACTCGCAACCTAGCACTTTTAAAAAAGTCAATATAAATCTCGTATTGCATTTTTAAGCTAAGTATAAACTTGTTTGTTTCAGTGTTTTGCAAATTCAGTCCCATCTGCACGACTTGTCAGTGAGTTTTACTAGATTTTATTGCTCGCAATGATAACATGTCTTGCTTTTACTCAATTCTAATAACATAAACGTATTTTTTTTTATTAAATTTAAATAGTGCTAATCTCTGGACTTAGTTATTATTATTATCATCATGGTTTTTTCAAATTACTAACACTAGTATACATCGACATTTAAAATTACACTTTATCATAGTTAAAAAAAAAAACAAATATTACAAATTAACCACTTAAGATGAAACATTAAAATTTTGTAGACGAATGGACGAAAAGTTATCGCCGCCGCGGGAATTGAACCAGCTTCCTTCGGATTCACGCCCAGACGCTTTCACCACCAAGCTAAACAGTTGATTGTCACATCGATTAAAATCCCAACGTATTTTATCTACATTGTTTTTTCGCATTTTAACCAATCTTTGGCGCATGATGTTACAGCCTTTCGAACACAAACAATTTTGGTTATCATCTGCAATTCCAGAAGACGCCGGTTCGATTCTCGCTGGGGCGAAAAACTACGTTAATTTTTTTACAAATTTAAACATAAACATAATTTTTTTTTTTTCAGCACCGTTTTCAAAATCGGCGGTCCTCTGCCGATCAAGCCCAAGAAGAAGAAAATGAAAGTTTGAATATGAATTTTTATAGAAAAACTATTGTAAATATTTTAAGAATTATAAATACATAACAATAAACGATTGCTTGTTTAAATTTTTCGTGTTGGCGATAAAGCAAGATTTACATTTCATTTTTTTTTATGTGAAAAGTTGCCAAACGAACAGACGGTTCACCTGATGGTATGTGAATATCGCCGCCCATGGACATCTACTACACCCGGGGGATGCGTTGACAACCTTTCGAAAATTGGGCACCGGCCACCTCACCCACCAGACGAAACGCGAAAGTATTTGTCATACTTCCACTTTACGCTGGTCTTCTGTGAGGTCGTGGTACTTACCCGGACGGGCCTGCCCATTCGTGCAACAGCTGAGGCTGCGGCGTGGCCCTACCACCAAAAAAACATGACCTATATGAATATATAAGCCATGAAGAGCAGTACAGCAAAAGAGTGGCATAAATTTAAGCAATTGTTTAACAGTAAACAATGTTTTTATTTGTGTATAACAAAAAGAAGTAAGTCAATAGATAAGGTATGTAGGTATTTATAAGTGGTAGAGTCAAGCAAACTTCTTCGCTGTTGCACGAATGGGCAGGTCCGTCCAGGTGAGTACCACGGCCTCAGAATACTGGCGTGAAGTACTTCCGCCTTTCATTATAGTGCGTAAGGCAACCTGGGTAAATTAAAAGGCACCGCATGTGCATCCCATGGACATTTGCTGGTTATCAATTAACATCAGTTAAACCACCAGCTCACTTACCATCTTTTTACGTAAAAAGTATTGTGTTTCCTATACAGAAATCGATCCCTTTTTTGTACTATTTGTATTGCATTCATAATTCGTAGGTTACTGGGTCATCATGCTCGGTCATTCGTCGTGCTTTCTCATTCGTTTTGAAACGAATAGAATTAATACAAAACATAACCTCGTTCTGCTAGCCAGCTGAGCCCCATCCAGATAAGAAATGTTTTTACTGTCACCCTTTGAGATTAATTGATTTTTTTTTTAATAATTGAAAACATAAGTGCGTTAGTCTTCGCTGTTGCACGATTCGGCAGGTCCGTCCGTCTTTCTGTCTTTCGTCTGGCAATTGAGGTAGCCGGAGCCCACTTTTTAAGGATTAGCAAAGCATCTGCAACCCGTAAGGTGTCCTTCCACTTACCATCAGGTGCTACTAGCGCCGGCTCGGTTGCCAACTACACATAAAAAGTCAAAGTAAAGTAAATTCCAATTCTTAAATTTGCTTGACACCTAGAGTGAAACGTAATTAAGGCTGCGCAAATAAATCACAGATTAATCAATCAGTCTTTAATATAATAAAGAAATGTATAGTTCCACGCGTAAACCTTGTTAATGTTATTGTTTTAGTAGATTTGTTAAGTTATATACTCTATGTTACTGTATATTTAAAATATACTGTTTATTATCGTAAAAACCGTTATTGTATTCCATACCCTTACAATTTAATTTAACCTCTTAAGATATGAAAGGAAAAATTTTATTAATAATATCGTTAAATATATTATTTTTCGAAAAATACTTTACGACAGTGTTTTAACAATACTTGCTAAAACTATCAATTATAATAAACTGTAAAAACTACTCTATGCACTAAATGTATCTGTACGTAAAACCCCTCATAAAAATGGTATTGCTATTTAAAATCACCACTTTTTTAAGAATGACAGAACTATGATGTAATGACATGTTTAAATACAAATATTTAAAAAATGCAAGTATCACATAACACATTTATACACACAAAAAATTTATAAGTACAAATGTATAAGTAGGCTTATCTAATTATATTTAATTACAATGTATCTAAACATTACATGTAACTAAACATTACAATGCTTGCTTAAAAGTATAATTCATTTCAAGATTTTTAATATACGTACATATACGCGATCTTGCGAAGTTATTTCGCAAATGTTTAAATCTTTATATAATCTGAGGGTCACCATGTATTTACACAATATGCATGGTTTTAAAAATATACAATAATGAATAATAAGTATAACATCAAAGCACCCTTTCATTCCATGCACTACTTTTATACAAATTGCAAACTTGCATTTTATCGAGAATTTTCGTGCAGCAAAAAAAAATTTTGATAAAGGTGTATTTGCAAGGCGAAACGAATTTAAAACGCACCCTCTTTTTTATAGAAAACACTAATTCGCTTTATTATTAACAATTAATCGCGTTAAATACGCTTCTCATAAAAAATTTCGTCCGACGCTGTTTTACTCGTCGTACGGACGAGTTAACTAGGTTAGTTGTAAAATAGCCAAGCTACTTATGTCTTATCTATAATATTGAACGCTATATCTATTTCCTCCTCTGGAGTCTTTACTTCACTACTATGTCTTCTTTGTTGTTTATCTACTTTATTGAGATCTGTCTGCTTTCCTGGGGCGTTCACGTGGTATTCTACCGACTTTGGCTTTTCAGTGGATTGGAGATTCTGAAATATCAGGATCGCAATATAAAAGTTGACTATAGAATGTAATATTAATGTATATTTATGTAATTATAACTTCAAAGCCTATTTACTTATATCTTGTTATCGTTGTCAAATTATAATCTCTCGAAGGTACTGGCTAAAATTGAGTTTTTTGCAGATACCTACGTGATCTTGAAGTAAAGCCTGAGTTAGCATGATTAGAAAGAGCTAATTTGTTTTTGTGGCGCTACATTTAATCTGTCTCTGATCGAATGAATTGATAATAGAAAGCCTAAACTACTTTGATGTTTTCGCTTGTGCTTGTTCGATTGCATCTTTTTTATCGTAATTTATCTTATATTCCTGTGCCCATCGCTAGATGCTTATCAATCACTTTGTCACTACAATAAAATGGTAATAATCAAATATATGTTTAAGTTTATACTTTCATCGTTTAGACCATAGCGGTAGTCCATGCAGTACAGTATATTACATGAGAAATGTTTGGTACTTTATTTAAAATTGTATATAAATATGATTAAGAATATGATTCTAGAAGTGATATGGCGGAAAATTTGTTAACGAACACCCAGATCCGGATCAATTATCTATGGGTCACGCAAAATACTTGTCCCATGTCTAAATCGAACCCACGACCCCCGACGCTGCCAAACCTTAGTAAAGGCGCCACCGAGTCAAAAACATGTTAAATAAATATTTACCCATATGTACCCATTATTTCATACCATGTTTAGTATCGATACTTCATTGCAATAAGTAGCCGTCTGTGCGTTTATATATATTTTTAATCTCAACAGAATTAAACTGTTGACTTATTGACTGTTAACTAAATATTATGACACTGAAAACACTGGCTATTTAAATACCATGGCATTACCACAGTTACCGAAAGTTAAGGCCCATTTACACGATGCCATTTTCTTGTACATACAAGAGCAATAATTGAATGCAATAAATTGCGCGCAATAATTTGTTAGACCATTTGTTGTTTAGACCATGCAACTCATTTATTGTTTCAATTTAATTGTATACAACAGGCAAGAAACTTGCACCGTGTAAATGGGTCTTTACTCGAGCTCGTGTCTGCCGGTTTTAACCACAAGATGCTTCGTATAAAAACTCTTTGTGAGGGATCCTATTTCATCGGTTTAAATGTATTTGATAATAAGTGTTTTTTTATTTAAATTTTCAACTTTAATAACTGAGCATTACTAATCAGCGAAGAAATGGTGCTACCGTTCTTGGCACCATGTCGCGAATGCTAGGTTCGGTAGATAACATAAAATTTTGTTAATATTTAATATATTAATTTTATTGAATATTTGTATTTATGCTATTCTCAGTGTTTTATTGTGGAATTCCAACGTTTGCAACAAAGATTCTGTCATCCAGCCCCAAAGAAGGCTAAAACTGTAGTTATGAGGTGTCACAATTATTATTTGGCCCATTTGAAATATGCTTTCACTAGTCTTACCTCGCCATAAATGTCTAAGGAAATCGAGTGTCTCTTTCTATTTGTCTGCTTCATTCTTCCCGATCTAGATATGGACAGCTTTCTTCTGCCGCCCATTGGTGGTGTTATATCACTGAGGTCTTCATGCTCCCCTCCATATTGAGAGGGTTTTCTCTTATCGGGGGTGTTTTGAAAGAGTGACTTTATAAATTTTGCCATAGCGTCTCGTTGTAATATTATGTTATGTTGAGATAAACTTGCATTTGTATAAGCCAAGAAAAACGACGATTCTAAAAAACGAATACAAAAGGATGAATAGAGATTCGAATATTATTAATGCTCAACTTAATTTAAATATTTTCTTAAACAAACTAGACTGTGAAAATAATAAAGTACGCCACGTTGATCTCGACACTTGTGACTGACTATGAAAAGTAGACAATGTTTTTTTACATGTTGGACTTGTTCAGTATTGAACAAGTCCATATTTTTACTGATAAAAAAACGACTTCAAATATCTGGCTCTGTATTATTTTATAATTGATTTACAGGAGTTTCCCGAAGTATCTCCGGGGCCCAAGATCCAATACCAATGAAATTAATATGGAACCACATAGGAAGCACCAGCTTTCAAATAAAAAAAGAATCATCAAAATCGGTTCGAAAGTTCTGAGGTAACAAACATATAAATAAAATACCTCCTCCTTTTTTGAAGTCGGTTGAAAAAGTCTATGCAGCGTCTGCTAAATTTATGAACGAAGTGGCAACGAACATACTGATATTGCACTGATAACCATTCCAGATACACACGTCCAGTGGCGTTGCTGGTGTGTACAGCTCGTTCGAACTTGAAAGAATGTAATTTCAAATTTTGAGCGATTTCTATCACGACATAACTTCACGGCGGTCAATGGAATTAATAATGATTTGATAAAATCACACGCAACTTTACATGGTACTTACACACTATGAAATGAACATTATGCATTGCACTTTACAATAAAGAAATCGCGCACTCGCGACCCACTAGCTCTAATCAGCTCTTGCCTCGGAGCCCACGAACTTGGCTTGTTTGCAATTGGAACTTTTTTCAATCGATAATTCGCGCGAATGGAAACAAAACTCGCCAACACTGCATTGTATATTACATTTGCTTACTATTTACCATATCCTTGTGATAAGATAGTCTAATGATACGCGGTATCGGAGACGTTTACTTCTTTTTACGATAATGACCATGATAATCGTTATAAAGTTAAATGATTGCGCTAATACCCTTGTGATTTTCGCGATCTTACTCTTTTTGAGCAGCGCCGATAATGAATACAGTTAGAGGTAAGGCAAAAACTGATAAACTAGGTGCGAGTAATTGTCCGGAACAAATGCTAACAAAACAATAGTTCGCTTAATACAAGTAAATTAGATAAATAATTAATCGTTCCTTATCTAATTTGCATTATATGTATTAGATATTAAGGAGTGTGACAAATGCTATTGCTTAAGCATTCAACGACACCATGTTTCCCGTTTCTGGTAAGGGTTGAAATTCGACGGGATCTCTTCGCTGATTTAACGATAATTTCTAAAGAAAACCAATAATCCATGTTTATTATTGAGTATTAGATGAGGATAAATATTTCAGGACCGATTTTTTTAGTTATATTTCTTTGGGCGCATTTGGAACAAATTATGTGAGTAAAATTTTTACAATGCGCACGCAGTCTCCCAAAACACTTGTGACATGTGCTTTGTAACAAACTTCGCGGTATTACCATGGCAACCAATAACAACTTTTTGACATTCCAAGTTATAACCGTTATCGTTTGGATTTAATGTATTTTTCACAAAGAAATAGTACTGGGGATGAAATTTTTACTTATTTGTCTTTTGTTATGTACGTTATGTATAACTTCATACGTGCGTTAATAAGTATACTCACTTTTCTTTTACACAAGTTTGTGATGTCGCAAACTAAACAAAGCTTGTATAAACTATGAAACTACACATTTTTTCTTTATAAGTAAATGATGATTTTTATAAACCATGGATGAGCAACCCGCGGCCCGCGGGCCGCTTGCGGCCCCTTAAACATATTTATGCGGCCCGCAAAGCATTTCTAAAATTGAATTTAATTTATCGAATTTCTCCCATCAATATATTGTTATAAAATTAATTATAATAAAATGGTAGTACATACTGAACCGAAATATTTTTTGTTCGTTTTTCTGTTCTTTTCTTGTTTGATTTTACATTGCATTAAAATTTGTATATGAAATCTTTACTTTTTTTTAATTATTATGTGCGGCCCGCCAAAAAAATTTGCAATTTAAATTGGCCCATTGATTAAAAAGGTTGCTCACCCCTGTCCTAGACGATATAAAATCACTACAATCATCTCACAATATTTTTCCACTAACACCCACTTGCCCAAAAATCCCCCTCATCCTTTATGCGGTATTAGTATCTTTTCGGAACAACCAAGACACAGAAGATATGCGTAAATAAAAGTGATTACTTTTTGTTTTATACTTTAGTTAGTGTGGTAACTGGAAGTAATACCGAATAAACCTGTCACAACATTAAGATTGCTTAAAAGACTACTCCCTATCGCAGGAGCATTCTTACATTTATTATTTCCGCGTTAATTTTAATAGTCAATTTCCTTTGCGCTAAAATTGGTCTGCATGTGTCGAGCTTGTAATGTTTGTCTTGGTTTCGAAATCTTGAAAAGGTTGCAACGGCAGCAACCCCACTCCACGCGTGCAGACTTTGGTGTTCCGCCAGCTCGCTTGCTACCTACTTACAATAAAACTGAGGCTTGAATTTGCTGCATAGTTACGTCACTGTCTATTGGCGGCATTAACCACTTACTCAGGTGGACCGTACAGTCATTTGCCACTGTTGGAATGGGGCTGTGAAAAGCAGATGACTGTACTGAATAACAAACTAATAAATCCATTCAAGTAAATTGCATTATGAAACAGTCTCATTATGTATTTATTTCAGTAATATATCAGCATGTGAGTAGGTACAGTTCGGTGATTAATAAAAATAAAGTAAAATAACAGCCTATACATGTCCCACTGCTGGGCAAAGGCCTCCTCTATACACCGCGTATCAGGGCATACTCTACCACGCAGCCCCACTGCGGATTGGTGGACTTCACATATCTTCGAATATATATATTTTTTTGCTAGTATTTCGAAAATATGCAGGTTTCCTCACGATGTTTTCCTTCACCGCGGAGCACGTGATAAGTCAGCACTTAAAGTCAAAAACTTCATTGGTGCCGGCACCGGGGATCGAACTGAGGTTGCTCAAGTATATTAAATTAAAGGCGAGCGCCCGGACACTGAGCTATCACGGCTCAGTGTCAGGTAATTAATAAACAAGGGTGAAATACTGTGTGCTACCTTTTCTCACACAATATTAGCTAATTCCAAACAACGCTTTATGGTTCTAACTAATATCATTCTTGTCTCAAAATCAGTTACTTTTTATAGCGTTACTTTGATATTTTTTTGGATTAAACATTACCCTTAATATAGGATAACATTGTCCTGTGTTGTAAGGATGTTAGACATACATAAATTTCATGTGGACAAACATCCAGACTCGAAACAATTATCTCTGGGTCCCACAAATAGTTGTCCCGTGCGAGAATCGAACCCACGACCCCAAAGTCAATACTTTTGCAACTGCGCCGGCGGAGTCTCTAGATAGATATTCTAGTGTCACTAGATCTACGCCTTTCTATGTTACCAATGGACACCAGATTGTGAGTCACGAAAATAAGATGGTGTAAGTATTAGTAAGGTAGATGTATGTATGTTCTACTTGACATCAATACTTATAAATAACTTGGGAATATAGCAAGTTACCTATATATGTTATGTTTCAAAGATGGGTCCTTCAATTAATATAACTACGAGGTCTGCTTTATAATATAAAAACAAAGAAAGTATCATTTATTTTTCTTTAAGAAACTGCGTTGTGTCTATGTCATCTGAATTTAATCTCATTGGCACTATCTGGTTATAACGGCAACTCCATTCGTAGAGGATAAAACAAGTAAACTATGAATGAGCATTTCCCTTCGTTTCGTGGGTGCAAACACTTAGTGACCACGGTTACTGTCGCTGACAAAACTTCGGGTTATCTTGATATCTAAATGATAACGATAGTTTCACTGTCAGTTGTCACTACGTAAACTCACTGCAGAATTGATAGCATTAGTGTTTTTTCTATCTACTGTAACGCTATCTATGGCGCTGCATAGGTTCATATCAAAATAATTATTTTAATTATCTTATTTATTCTTAAAGTGTACAGGAATTACATAATGAAATTCAAAGAATGATAAAAAATATCTTTAATCGAATCGTACAAAAACCGACTGTGTTAAAATAAAAGTGCTTTAAAGAAATAATGGCTCTGCTAGAAACTCGATGTTAGCCAATTGAAGGTCTTCTTAACATCGATAATTTTAATCGCTAATCACTGGAGTAATTTTTTTACTAAGCATTTTATAAATGTTTCTTAATTTTCACTCACTATAAAAAGACAGGAAGTCTGCTCTAATGAGTAAATTTCATATAATACCATGATGCTGAAGAAATTGGAAGAAACCTTATCATTTATGAATTATAATACTACATTATGAATTATATTTACAGGTTACAATGTAGTGCAGATTATTATATTATAAATATATATTTCTGTTTTTCAAAATTTATGTAGTTTATTTATACAATATTAAGTTATTGCTGAAACAATGTTGCCTGCGTAATCTGCCAACAAATTAAGAGAGTTTAGTGAAACAATTATATGGACATAACCCAAAAATTATACAAATATATTACAATGTACATTATATCTCACTACATTTATACATAACGCTTTCTACATAAAGGAACTCCGCTGTTTACACAAAAAGTAAGTAGTTACAATAATTTTAGAGTCACAGAATAAAGGTATAGAGTGCGATATTAAAAAAAAAGAGCGCGCGCAAAACTTACATGCGCTGAAATTCGTAGTCGTTTGGTGCTGCCCTCTCTTTCACCCCACGGCAATCGATATATAATTTTTTCTCTTTCCCACGTTGTATACATATCATAGTTGTATACATGTCATAGTTGTGAACAACGTTGTACCAGAACTCGCGGAACAAACTGTACTGTCACATATAACATTTGCGCGAACTTTACTACATATTTCCCGACAAAATATTGGCAAAATAAAAATCGTTCCAAAATAAACCTTTTAATACAATACATAAACGAGCGTATTTAAAAATTAAAATTACATTTCTGTAAAAAATTCAGTACAACAAAAAACAAAGATAGAAAATAGTCTTTAATAATATTGGAGAAACATGCTACTATGTAATTTTTAATATTTACATGAAATAACATAATTATGGATATAACACCTTGCTTACATTATTTAGTTGCATACATCAATGTTTCATATTAGCTGTTCCATATAAGTCATAATTTTTAAGCAAACCTACATTCATAAATAATATGAGACGTAAATATATTATTCAAAACTTAATTAACTATCAACTCTTTGCTTTAAGAATACCTTAAATAAATTACATGAAAACTAGTACTAGACACTGGTCTCATTATTTAGTTATGTATGTATACTTTCTAGGCATGTAATTACTTACAGCAATAACAAACATTAAGTGCAGTTCTTTAAAAAAAAAATTAGCGTGACGCGCGAATTTAGTAGAGCTTGGGGCCCTTGAAAAAATTGGGACGAAAATTAAATTATAAAATTCATACCATGAATGGTTTTAAGCTTTACACTTTTTGCTTTATAACTTTTAGAGCTAATTGCAAATTTCCATAATGATATATGAATGAAGTAAAATTAGAGAAATCATGAACTCAGGAATTCAATTCCTGTAGTCTAGGTCATAACATTAACAACCTAATAGGTCTGAGTTACCCTTATTTATAGATTGCAGATAGAAAACATGCCTCTGAAGCCTGAAAAATCTAATCCTGTTGTGGAATAACAACTTAAATTTTGTACCAATGCACATACAAAGCAAAATTAATTCCTTGTCATATTTTAATGTTTAGTGTATCTAGTCTGTTAGATAATGTATATATCAATCTAGAATCTAGATAGATGTTTGGAATTCTACAATGCGGTGATTGCGGTCTTTTAGAAAGGAAATATCCGATCTTAGATTTGCACATAAGAAAAGGAAAGGAAACCACCCTATTATATAAACCTAACCTTCAAAGAGATTTAATGAATAAAAAAAACTAAGCAGTGAACAGAATAGGTTCAATATTTTTTTGATGCTTGCAAGCCCAAAGAAAGTTCAATCGAACCGTAACTACACAAAATACGCATTAATCTTTAAGCTATTATTAAATTTGACATTTCTCATTTTTAACCTGTTCTCTTCCCGCGCTCATTTTTATCTATGGCTATTAAACCGTGACATGTTACGTTATTTGATAAAAAGGCTCCCCGATCTTCGGCAGTACATAGTTATGTATAACATCTTGCGCTCCTCTCCGTGACGATCACCATTCACAATGCACAGACACCGCAACTATCACATATGTTTCCAAACACAGGCACTACACTGCATCGCGAACATTCTGGAAGCTTCCATTAGACGACCTGCTCGGTGTCGTCTCTGTTCGACACGGCCTCGGCACTGCTAGGCGGTGCCGCGTTCCTGTACAGCTTCAGGTTGGCCTCCGTGTAGTCGAGGATCTTGCGGCTGGAGTGCCTGATGTACAGCATCTGCTTGTGGTATATCTTCAGGGCGCCCTTGATGGTTATGTATGTGAGCCCCCCGAGGAAGGTCCGATGCAGGTTGTTCTGGATCGAGCGGAAGAAGATTTTGCCGATGATCGTGGATATTGTGGGCAGCAGGAGGGCGGAGCAGAATATCCTCGTCGGTGACAGGTGCGTGTTGGGCCCGTGGCTCGAGTTGGCCGATTGGCCGGACACTATGGCGCCCCTGTCGCTGTTCACACTGGAAACGAGAACGCAGATTTTAAAAGTTATAACATTTATTTATGGTTATTTTAATGCTAGTCTGTAGCTGTGCTCAATACGAAATTTAGATGCGAGTTTAATGGATAAATTGGCGATTTACTTCTATTTATTTTTTTCTCCGACCATACGACCAAATAAATAACCACGGCCGATTCTGTGGGAAGCTAACCGATGCCTTTAAATATGTCATCAATTCGACGAATTTTTTAAGATTCAATTAAAAAATAACTTAGTTTAATAAATGAAATAGGACGAGAAATTATGTACCAATTAGATGTTAGCTTAAATAAAAACGAACGCTAAGTAAAGTCTGCATTTTTCTACTAGTCAACAAGTTCTAGATTTGTATGAACATAATACAATAGACACACGCAAATGTTTAAACAAAACGAGCTACGATTAGTTTACGCGTTCTACTGAATTCACAATGTTCCAAATGTGATCGGCGCATCTTACAGTCTTGTGAGCAATCAATGCACATGTAATTACTAAACAAGATCCACTTCACGCCACTGGTAATCGAAGCCAAGAGACGCTATGACATGATAAATTGAACATCTAATGTATATAATAGGTAGAGGCGAGAAGGTTAGATGTGATGATTCACTTTGAATTCATTGTCAGCACTTCACCCCGTACGAATGAGGAGCCTGGTGAGGAAGAATTTCGACAAGCTTAAAATTTTCCCGGATTTTGTGAAAAAAATTAAAAAGATATTTCTTAGACCTACGATCGGAGAGACTAAGACAGGAGTCTAGTGAGATCGAACTTCGACATGCTTAAAACGTTCCCGGATTTTGTGAAATAAAATTCAAAGATATGTCGGAGAGAAACAGATATGAGTGTGGTGAGAACGAATTTCGACATGCTTGCAACTTGTAGATAAAAGGCGTGTACGCCCGGTTCCTATATTAACAAAACGAGGCGTTTCCCTTACGAGCCGTTGCATTACCTACGGAAAGTGAGCGTACTAGCGTTCCTTTAATCTACAAGTCGTTATGAAAGTTACGAAGCTATGTAACTAACGACCGTTCGTTGAATACAGGAACCGGGAATGAGACATACGATCGTAGAAACTCAAACAGGAGTCTAGTGAGAACGAATTTCGACACGCTTAACACGTTCCCGGATTTCTATTTTCTAGAACTGCCAATTCGTGCTATAGCTAAGACTATGGCGGGCCCGTGCCATAGATACATTTATCACTCACTTTCCGAACGGAAGAATGTAGGCGAGCGCTGGTATCTTCGCGCAGTATTTTCTCAGGAACAGTAGAACCGAATCCTCCCAATTGTACATTTTGGCGCTGATGAGGGTCACCGGGATCGTTGGCAGAAGCACTAGGAGCACCAGAGGGTCTGCGGATTCCATCATCTCCAAACCCTCTCTGTGGCCGACCACCTGGAAATTTGCATTGTGCGGTTACGAACGAACATATTCCGTATCAATTAATTATTATTTCTAATTTAATATCTGCAAGTTTAATAAGGTTAATTACTTTAAATGGCCGCTTTGTGTAATTATAAATATAAATTCAGTATTTACGACCGCATAATTTTATGTGGGGTTTTGTAAAATACTAAATCGTCACACGGGATTGAATTTCCAGCATGGTAAGAGACTACGGTAATTCAGTTTATAAAAGTCATCGTTTTTATGGACTTTCGTAATAAAATAATATTTTTTTAACGAGAAACAAAACCGACTTCAAATATCTCGCTCTGTATTAATTTTGTAATTGATTTTCAGGAGATCCCTACGTATCTCCGGAGCCCAAGATCAATACCAATGAAATTAATATGGGACCACATAGGAAGTACCAGCTTTCAAATAAAAAAAGAATCGTCAAAATCGGTCCGCTCAATGTAAAGTTCTTAACAAACATAAAAAAGACAGTCGAACTGATAACCTCCTCCGTTTTTTAAGTCGGTTAACGAGTAGAAAATATACTTAACAGAAGGACTATTTGTCGTAAAATTTATTTTAATCAAACACAGTCAAACTATTTAGAGATGATATGTAAATTTTGTTCACGTCCACTTAAACAAAGCCTGCGTCTGGTCGGAAATGCGTAACAAATTAGGTGAATGTAAAAACAAGACAAATGAAAATTTAAGCAGAAATTCAAACAGTCGAAAGATTTCCCAAGGCTTCGCGAAAATAAAGGCACAATAGCTCTATACAGAAATAGTTGAAATATCTGAATTTGTAAGCAGTGTGGCTTAGCAAATGTTTTTACAAATTATATCTATCAAGTATTTTTATAAATGTAAAGTATTTTTAAATGAAATATTAAGGTGTTAATAATATGTAGATAATATTATTTCGTATACATTTTAAATACAAATAGATATTATTTTAAATAAGTAGATATTTCGATAAGTAAATACTAAAGAACATTGAAATGTTAAAAACATAGGTGTTTTTCATTGATGAGCAACATAACTTCCGCTTCATGTAAAATAGTGTTTTTTTTTCTAACGCTTAATGTTTGTAAGCAACACTTCATACTGAATTACAAAATAATGTAAATGTGTCTAACCCTAACAAAAAAAACAATTAGCGTAAACTCAATTATTTGACCAAGAATGGTTATTAAAGTTTTATTTTTTAAACGTGTCACAATATTTCAATATGCTTTTGTAACCCAGTCGTTAAAAAAAAAGTAATTTAGTTAGTTCTCACTTCCATTGTAAGGTAGGCGGACAGATGGATAAAACTGAGTCTTCTAGTCATGAGCTGTTGTAAGCACTTAGCGGTTGATTTATAATTTTAACTTTAAAACGTTGACATCTATTCACACTCGACGATTGACCTAAATACAAATGTACTGTTCAGACTTGTCAGTCCATCGAGATTTGACGTCTCAACAAGGACCTCTTTACAAAGGAGCTCGAGTTGAAAATACTGTTACATTTTCACACGTGCTAATCTGGCCGACACGAGTATGAGGCGTCACGTCATCGGTACAGTTGATCAAATATTTTGTCAAAGACCAGACTGGGCCACGCCCCCAAAAAAACAGTTAAGATCTTATGATGCTTCTGTTTGTTGATAAATGAGGACAAAAAACACGGTAAACTTTGAGGAACTTAATAAATACTTGAAGATTGATATGAGATTATGGTTTAATGATTTCTTGTATTTGCTTACTTAAACTGCGTTTTGTTTATTTATTTATATATTTTACTTTTAAATTATGACGCGTGACCTCGGATGCGTAGCATTAGAAACTTCCTTAATTATAATATGTTTAAAGTAAACGCAGTAGAATCCAGAAGATTAAAGTTACCTATATTATATATAATATACTAGATAAATTGTCTTCGTAATATCTAGTATTCGGGTTCTCGGGTAAAATTTGAGTCAAATCTAAATAATTTTATAACTCTAAATTTGCGTGCGAAACGACTGACACATGATTACCTTCTATAATAAATTTCAATAAGAATCGAACAAAGGAGAATAAGTCCGAATATTGTCTTTGGCTTCAATGATAAAAATGAAAATAATGACAATAATAAATAATATTGTCGTTTGCATAATGTGCCTTAGTCTGTGTCAAAGCAACTCGTATGTTGACTTCGAAACTTAGAACTAATCTTGGCATTTGAAACAATATTCGTTAACTACTCGGGAAACCACATAAATCGGGCGATCGACTAAATACAGTTCGAGACATAGTTTGTTACAGATATAGTCTTGATTGATCTAGATATTTTGTTTCCAAATTAGACCTCCATGGTCCACGAGAGACTCGGCGGGGTCTACGTTAGATCTAATCTTCAAATTTTTTGTCAAGTTTTGTGAATATGATAGAAATGTAGCTGCAGGGGGGTCCACTGGAACCAGTTAAATTATGATGGAGTGGTCTATGAGAAAGAAAAAGTCTTGGAACCTCTGATTCTAGACTGAATGCCAAAGGATCTGACATCAAGGCAACTTTCGTGTTGAGAACACGTTGTGAACTCGTTGTCAATAGTCTCCATTTTTACAATATTCTTTAAAATTAATGCACACATATTAATAGTTTGGTGCCAATTTTCTTAACACGAGTCCTGTTCACTTTTTAAAATCGGTCATAACATCTTATCTCGTATCGTATCTTCATCGGTCAAAAAACGAAAGTGTTAAATATTGCTTGAATTAAATAACTGAGACCTGCTAATACCTGCTCAAAACTTTAAAGTCTTATTCTTACTCTTTATGGAGACCATAACCATCTAAAAACTGAGTGGTTAACCGTGTTAAACCACTCAGTTTATTGTTAAGCTTGAAAATACTACGGTATATTCTATGGTCACCAAGTCACAACGATTATTGCGACCTAGAAAGATTTATTGTAGTATTCCCTTCGAAAACATTGCCCATTATCCTGTATTGCAAGGACTTTTACATATATAAATTTCACGTTTACAAACACACGGATACAAAACACACAAATAGTTGTCTCGTGTGGCAAACGAACCCACGGTTGCTGAGACCGATGTGACCTAGTAGAACCGCGTCTGATTGGTAAGGCAGATCTCAGAGTCTACTGGCTTAAATTACGCATCAATAACTGCGGATGATGAGGAATAGTAAACTAAAACGCGCTAACTTTCTGTTACAAAACGAAAAGTGATTCAAGTCCGAACTTTCATTACTTACAAAATCTCACCTGTCTCGTGACGACTTAAAAGCTTAAAAGCTGACAAGGTCTGGTAAAAGTTCAACAGTTTCAAGGCAAAGTCTGCTGATATCGTTAACCGTCCGGAACACAGGTAAGTGGAACGAGATCTCGCCTGGGACCGGTAAACTCCACCCGGTGAATTACATTTTAACTGTGGTAGAGCTACGCAGCAGCCACGGGTGTTGCACGACTAGGCAGGCTCGTTCGGGTAAGTACCACGACCTCACAGAAGACGGGCGTAAAGTGGATGTATATCAAATACTTTCGCGTTTCGCCTGGTGAGTGAGGTAGCCGGAGCGCAATCTTCGAAGGGTTGTCAAAGCATCTGTATCCTCGGGTGTAGCAGATGTCCATGGGCGGCGCTATTCATTTAACATCAGGTGAACCACCTGCTCGCTTGAGAACTTTTCACGTAAAAAAAAAAAACACTTCATGAATTGAAGTCGGTGACACTCGCACTGGAAACCACTTGCCTGCATAACCGTTACGGCGCCGTAAGTGATCGCAATCCAGTATATAGAGCCGAGGAGCACGCCACCCGCAATGAAAGGGCTGATCTTGTGCGTGATCTCCTCAAGAGCGTCCAAAAGGGCCACGAAAGCGCCCATCGAGGGGAACACCACGATGTACTCCGCCTTGCACTGGGGACAGAGCACCTTGCGGCTTATGTTGTCACGCTGCTTCTCGTCCACCCAACGCTGGAGACAGCTCTGGTGCACCTGAAAAGTCATCCACCAATTCGGTCACACAGGCAAAGTCGAGGAAAGTAATCGCCTCTCGCTGTCATAGCACTTACACAAATAAAAACACTTGATGCTGGGCAAACTATTATCTAGATCTATCAATTCGATTATTAGTAAATTTGATAGTTCGATTTAATACAATATTATTACATACAATTTATTACAACATGCCATAAGGACATAAGTATAACCCTAATAAAATCAGTAGACAGGTTCACGGGCTACCAGGAACGCAGCCATGAGCGTGGGATCCCAGGTGGGATGGTAAGAAGTGAATATAACAGTAGCACAATAAGAGTTGTAAGGTGATGTTGGCTATCCTGAGACAATCTTAAACACAGCTTGTTTACCATTTGTATTCATAGAAACATTGTTATGAGAAACCTTAGTTATGAAGTTATAAAGTATGGTTATTTACATTATTTGCATACTTTATTTATTTACAACCATATTTATACAGTGTGCATTTGCTCAGTAGTAACAGCAAAAATATCCAAAAGGGATGTGACATTCTTTTACATACCCCAGCAAGTTAAAACCACCATGTGGTTTAACACCAAAAAAATACAAACACACGAATACAGATAAATATAGGTAGCTACGGAGTGACAAAAAATAAAGCCAATATAAAGCTGAATAAGTTATATCTAATCAAAACATTATACATTTTATCTGACCAAATATACATTATTATTAGCCGTGACATATGCCAGCACTGGGGATTGAACTTCGATTGGCTGAATATCTTGAATTAAAAGCGCTTACCAGGACATTGAGCTATAATGGCTCTTAGTCTTATCCTTTTCTTCACTCTTATTGTTTTCTTTTGTAAACATATAATACCATATATGTATAAACATTCAAACAGTAGAAAGTAGGGAAAAATATGGTGAGCAAAGGGATTTTTTCCAGTAGTAGGGATAGAAACCACACCTTCTGGCACAAGAGATGGGTTCACTATCCTCCATGCCAATTGAGAATCTTTCAGACTACAGACTTAGTTGTGAAAAATAAAAAAAGTCAATTGAGAAATATACCAAAATGTTACTTTGAGCCCATTTCAAATTATACAAGCTTTTCTTTACAATTTCACAACAAACATTATAATTTCTAAATATATCTTGTGGAATATACAAAAATGGGCATTTATTGTACCAAATAGCTTATCACCATTCAAAGAAATAAGGTTTATAATAATAAGCCAATGAAAATTATTTAAACTAAAAATAACAATTTAGTTGATGATAAAGTATTAGCACAAATTGCTTATCAAATCTGATTATTATAATATTTATATAATAATTACAATACATACATAATGATAAGATATGTAATGGGCTTACAAATGGTTTAATCATAATTCTCAATCTGGGGTGTAAGAATTCTAGTGAAAGCAACAATTATTTGACCATTCATTGAAGTGAAAGCTTCTTATTTCTGACAGTGCCTTGTGTTTGACTAAGATAGCACTGATTGAAGCAGTAATTGTAAACTGTACTGTGATAAAGGTACCTCCCCAATACAATTTTTATTCCAATTACAATGAAACAGTAAACAAATTGTGTTAAATCATTCTTTATGGTAATTATTAAAAGTTAGCAAGGTATAAATAAACAATTTCAATTTTTATGAAACAAAATCTGCATTATGTATTCAACATGGTATGATTATTGCCTTTTGTAATAAAAACAACACTAAAAAAATGGCAATAAAAAAGTGCTTCTTTTTCATTTCAATTGGTGTTATGCTAGTTGTGTGCAATGCTATTGTTTTAATTCCAATTTCTTTTCCAGCAATTAAATTAACTAACAAAAAACTAGGATAATGTTATAATACCAGTAATATGTAATTTACTTCAATTTCACTAAGTCAAGTAAAACAAATAGTATTAAGAAGTTTACAAAAAAATAAATCTTTGGTTGTGCTAACAAAACACATGTGAAACTGAATGACTCAATTATTAGATAGTAAGATTTGTATGAATAGATCCATTATTTTTGTTTTAAGTGACATATTTTGGTTGTGTAATTATGGCTTAGTTTACTTTGAAACATGAAAATATTTAATAGAATGGAAAATTTATAGCATTACATTGAAATTTTAAGATTTAAACAAATTATTTGTTATACTTTTAATTGCAACAAATATATTGACAGCAGAGAAAAATAAAAATTTGAAAGAAACAATGAAAAAAATAGTTCTTTCATGTGCATTGTGCCTTTGATAGAATGATGTATCGATTTTTAATTCCTTGTTTTTAAATGCAACAGTTGACAAAGTTAATGTTAAAATTAAATTATAATACACTACAGTTTGAAGTTCAGAGAAACTATTATCAATGCTTTACCAATTTGCACAATTCTATTTTTTATGATTGTATACAACTACAGAACAAAAGGATTCAATATGATGGTTGATAAAATACTTTTACGTTTACAAAATGATCTTCAAATACACAAAGAAGATGCGTGAAACATTTGCTGACAATGTTACAACTCTTGAAAGAGGACAATAACTTATAAAGTTCATCCATCATGATAAAGTTGTTTAGAGTTGATCTTATAATAATAAAAAAGGCAATTGTCCATAAGATTATGATAACCTTCCTAAGGACAAAGTTGTACAAATGGAAATGACATACATGCAAGACTTTGTAGCTAATTCTTATCTCATGAAGTAAGCTTATTTTTTCTTTCAATTACATATTTTTTTTTAATTTAATGAATTATTTATCTTACATGAATAATCATGTAGATAATCCTCTTGAACTGATGCAATATTAGGAATAATTATTAAATAAAAACTATGAACATCACAAGCACAATATAGTATAGACGAGAGATTAATATTGATGATTTATATTACATTTATTTCATTATTTATTTAAAGATTCCAAAAAACAATCACTGTTGCTGTATTAATTTTTAGTCTAGTAATTGTATGTATTTATAATCACCCTAACTTTTTTAAATTACAAAAGGTATTCTGTCTTCTTATTACTTAGTTATTTTAGGCATTACTATGAACATAATTATTTTTAGCAGAGAATTGAGAAAAGCACACAATTGTATGAATTTGAGCTGCTGTTAAGGTTTCTACTACTTAAACAACCTTCTAATAATATAATAATATACGATATTCACTGTTAAATTATTTCAATCATGCAGTTTCTCTATTGATTAAATAACAAAAATTCTAAATGAATAACAGCGCAGTCATTATTTAAAAAATTACTGAGGCAACAAAACGTATCATCGAATTTTGAAATACAATTTATTTTACCCATTTCGTCGTGCCACTACATTTGCATGGTTGCACCCATGCTGCTAGTCTGTCGTCAGCTTCAGTACCAAAGCAAACCCAACATGATTTCTGATTTTCATCGTCGTTCATCTGCAGGAGTTTCAGAAGCTCGGTATTAGAAAGTACGCCTCGTGGAGCAGAGTTGGGCTTATCCTCGTTAGCCATTGTAACGTACGTAAGCAAAACAAAATTATTCACACAATTTCACTTCTTGCGTAAAATGTATTAAAAAACTTTCATGAAATTATGCACAAAATAAACAAAACAAAGATAAAAACAACACAATAATTGTCGCAATCGAACTGTTAGTCGTAATGTGATTCGAAGTTAACAACGAAATGTGTGAATGTGAACGAAACTAAACTAAAACATAGGTATTTTATTTTTTAAATTACAATACAGCTTGACGTTTCCTTTCAAAAGTCGATTGTTGTCATTTCTCAGGCACAGATTGAATATTTAAAATGGAATAAAAAATTAAAACATTAAAGGAAGCAAATCAATCGCTTTTTCTAACTAAAATTTTCATTAATTCTATGACGATTTATATGCAGACAACCTGTTAAAGAGCATGTAAAAGAGTAGAAACTAGAATAGCAACACAGGTCACAACGATGTTTATTTACGTTACCAGGTTTTGATACCAGGTATTTCGTTACAAGTATACCAACCAGGTACCGACCCGATATCATGTATAAGACTTGAAAGTATTTTTTCCTTTAGAGTATACAATCCCTTCAAAGTAAGTACTACTACATCGAACGAATCGAATGTATTTTTCTCGGAACTCGTCCCGCTCGTCGTTCGGTGCTGTTCGACTGGGCTCGGAGCGTACGCCGTGCGATGGCGAAGCAATGTATATCGGTCTCGCTCAATGGCAACAAATGCAAAATTATATCTTATGGTATACATACGGTTGAGATTGTGTTTATACGTGAAATAAAATACTTTTGAAGTATTTTACGTCTTCATTGGAATATTTTGAATCTTATCTGTATAAAAACAAGGTTTAAATTTGCAAGGAAGTAAGTTTACGTCTCGTTGCGTTGGAAAGAAAATACTTTGAAAGTATTTTGATACCTGGTTTTTGCACCTAGTATGAGAAGGTGGACAAACTTTTATGCCCTGGTACGCGATTTAGGAAGTATAACCCATCCCTTGTCTGGTACAACACGGTTATAAGCAAAGAGTACATTATTAATACTGAGAACAGAGTTCTCAGTGTCCTCGTGAGACAGCGCCATCTCTTGATACTTTAGCGAATTACAAGTTCAGTTGAAATAATAGAGCTACTTAACCATTTTCAGTTTATAATTATAGTTGGGAGCTGTAGTTGTCAACTGTCCAGTTGTCTATATAGTGTATATGAAATTTATTTAATTTATAATTGATAACATTGTTTACATGTATAGATAGAATCAAACTGTAATTGGATACAGGCTTACCGGATGTTATTTTTGGATAAAGTAAATAAAATACAGAATATGTTTTGCGGAGTTTATTTCGTTTTTTACAATATTCACTCTCAATTTTTTTTTTATATTGTCTTTGTTATGAATGATGTCGAGTCTGGTGCTCCTTAGTTACTTATTTACGTTAAATTATTTATTAACTATCCAAAATCTCCAATCGATTAAATGTTCTAAGTCTGCCACTATCCTTTTTAGAGAGAGGAAAAGAATGCAAATTTGCGTTGCAATCTTTACCTGCCAATACAAACATTATTAATGTTTTGCCGTAACGTAAAACAAAATAAAATGATGAATAATGAAAAATAATCGAATAAAATAAATGACTATTAACGGGCCGCAGTTATGTCGGTAACGTTCCGTTACACTTGTTGTTTTCTTTCAAATTAATAATATTTGTTTAATAAAATACGATCGATACGATACGAAAATAAGAATCATACACAAACCTGCTTTTATAAAATTTATCTTAATTTAAAATGGTTTTAACTTAAAAAACCATTTTGTTTTTAATATAATGTTACCATAGTTAAAAATGGTTTTACATTTAAAATTTAAAACATTGTCACCCGTTTTTCAATGATGGAACTTAACAAAATGAGCAAGTTCCATATAATTAGCAAATGTATGGACTGAAAAGACCGTGGTTATAAGTTTTGTAACTGTGTAGACCGTGAATCGGGGATTTATACATACATTGAAATACATTGAATCATATGAGTATACAATCAATTCATACAATACATTGAATCATATGAGTATATGAGTTTTTCATCAGGTGTGTGTCGAGACTGCCGAGTAAACGCAGAGGCAAGTTAGTATTAATATATTAGATTCTTTTAGATATTGAGATTTGGACGACTAGATAATTAAGACTGGGCGCGTTACCCAGAAAAGTAACGCTTCAAGGTGTTGCATAAAGCGGCGGACGGCACAGTGGACTGCCAGGCAGGATAGTGAATAGGCCCCTTAATCCTTCCTCAATCCTTCCTTGTCACAGAATAGAAAATATAAGTGGACTGTAGAAGTGCGATATGGTAGGATTGTCGAAAAATATCAATATTTTTGATTCTGTACATCAATATTTGGTTCCGATATATAGCCTCCCAAACCGGTGATAATAATCTCGCTCTACAAACTATCGTCTCAAAGGGCCACATTATCACCTAGACGGTTTCGCTAACTTGCATGCGCGCAATTAATCATTCTGATCATTAAAAAGATCATTCTGATCAAATGCAGGGAGTTTACCACCCTTTTTGAAAATTAAATAACTTTTAAAAGTCATTTGACAGCTTCAGTTAACTTCTACGATGATCAGTGTTTCAGAAACCGGGCGTCAGTGTGCAATTTAATAATATTATCTCTACCCAAAATATAAGTTAAATTTGAATTATCATTATAATTTTTAAGTACAGAAAAACAAGTTCTATCATGTTTAGCCACATATCGCGACATACAAATTGGTAACATGAGACCGTGCATAGGGCACTCAGGTCATTAAAACATTATTATTACAAATATAAGATTAATTAAATTATATCCGCGAAATTATGTTAATACAAATAAAATTATTCATATTACTACAGCCTAGCCTTTTGTTACAAATTCAATAAATGAGATTACATTAATATAATGGGATATAATAAAATAAAATTCAACATCCGATATAACAAAAAGCAATAAGAAACTTCCTTTTATTTAAATATTAATTTAGTGATTTAAAATAAATACTTATTTTTCAACTCAAAATAACGGTACGTACATTATATACCTTAGTAGGCACTGACCTTATCTCAATTTTTCGCCGACTGATTTTTATAGTAATTTCGTACAAATACAGTCTTGATTTCGATCAATATTCATTTCTACTCGTTGTGGCCTGGATCTTTTTCACGACAAAAAATATGATAATCTCTCTCTCTCTCTCTCTCCCCCTCCCGTGCATATATTATTCCCACACGGGGTCTGCCTTTCCTGTCTTTCGCTTCCACTTCGCTCTATCCATCGCATCGTCATGGGTCATATTGCAGGCGTTAAGATCGTTTCTCAGTAGCTCTGTCCCTCTTATTTTGATCTTCCTCGTCTCCGAGAACCTCGGATGTCCAGATGTTATAATAATAACGATATTAAATCAAAATTGGATATTTTATTCTCATTATATCTTATGCTTAAATATTTTATAGTATCAATAAGGGGAAAACGAAAATCGCCTAAGCGGACAACACTGACAAGAGATGGCGAATCTGCTACTGATAGAAAAATCATTTTTATTATATTGAATATATTCTTGTATCTTGTATTAACTGATGTTTTTGCTTCCAGTCCCAAGACTATTAAAGCTTCATCTGATGCAGAACCGGTGGGCTAGCCAGAACCCACGGGTTTAGGTCCTCCACTGTGGGTAGGGCCACGCATGTACTCATGCGTGTGTTTAAGTAATCTGTGTCATCTAAGGGCCATCGAGGTCGCGGTTCGGACCGAAACCCCGATGGCCGTCGACTGTGCAATTAGCTAATCGATGGCTGGGGGCGGTGAGAACCGCCCCGCAACGCCGGTGTACCTTGTGTACGCATTTTGTTGGTCTCGCCGTGCTCGGAGGCGAGGGCGAACTAGTGTGTTTGTTGTTGCACTAACTGTGTGTGTAGTGTTGTCCGGTGGGACCCCCGGCGGTGGGTCCGGTGTATCTAAGTCCCCTTCCTCGACCGGGTCGATTAGGACGTTTCGCGGGCGACGCTTGTTAACTTTCGCGTTTGTGTCGGGTTGGTAATTTGCTACGCTTACCACCAGAGGGTTGGGATGATTTTAGGCTCTATCGAAGAACCGTTTGGTCAGGTCTTTAAAATATTCGCGAATCGTCGGGAGTCTGCAATCGCTGTGCAGGTCGACGTTGCGTTGATACCACTGTGCACCAGTTGCGCGGCGGATAACTTATTTTGTACCATTTGCAACTTGTACAAGCGAGTAGGGTGCGTGAGGGCGAAGGTCATCCATGGATAGGACATAATAGGTCGTACGCAGGTCTTATATAATAATAATTTGTGCCTTAAGGGCATTTTACTTTTAGCGTTACTTAAATTATGTAGCCGGCCGGAGACGAACGCGGCTCTATTGCGAATGTTATTAATGTGCCAGTAAATGCCATTCGCGAGTCGAAAGTGACTCCTAAGTATTTGACCTTTTTCTCCCAGGGGAGCGGTTGGCCATGAAGGGATATTTGCCCCAACTTTCTGCATTGACGAGGGCCATTATAAAGATATGCTTCGTGTTGGGACCTTATCGAATGCTTTTCTGACATCGAAGAAAAGAGCCCCTGTACTAATATGTTTAGGGTGATTTAGGCCTTTTAGGATATGTTCCGTTAGGCGGAATAGTTGATCGGGACAGGAATGTCTAGCTCGAAAGCCGAATTGTTCCGCCGGCAGAAGGCCGTTGGTAAACACGTGCTCATTGAGCCTGTTTAATAAAAGCCGCTCGTAGAGCTTCCCCAGGCAACTGAGGAGGCTGATGGGGCGATAACTAGAGGGCTGGTTGGCTGGTTTATTCGGTTTGCCGAATTGGATTGCGCGGAAGGCGCAACGGGCGGGATCGCGGCGGTGGATGTCGACGCGGCCGTCGTTGCTTGTGTCGTGGAAGGCGACGGGATAACGGGTGCAGAGGGCGCGGGGGCGATGGCGGAGACACGATTGCCGGAGA